TAACCTTACCCCACCCCCCAATGCAGTCTCTGCAGCCTCTCTCCCAAAGCCTTCCGCAGGTGCGCTGGGTGGCATATGAGTGGATGGAGGCGGGAAGCTGGGGAGAGAATTGGGTGGGCTCCCCCAGGCATATAGTGAGTGGCTGAGGCCTGGACCTGAGACCCATGCACTGGTCACCCCACCAAGCACAGGCAGTGGGAGAGGAGGGCAGACGGGGAAACTGAGGAAATGTAGATGGGCTGAGAGGAGCCAGTGCTGGCCTCCAAGTTTATTTTCCAAAGCTGGGGGGGTGCTAGAGGTGGGGACAGGAGAGGACGACATTGAATGGGTGCTGGCCAGCCAGGTATGAGCCAGGCTGGGGTGGGGAGGGGTGGCTCTGTTCAGGACCCCATTGCCCAGAGGCCAAGGAGGAGGCTGAGCAGGAGGGCGACCGTTTTGGAGCTGCCCTGGGGACCTCTTGCCCCAACACCCAGCCCACCCTGCCAGGGTGGGGTGTTGCACAGGGTGGTCTGGCAGCAGGTCATGGTCATCAGGGTCCCCTCGACCTCCTTGGCAACAGGCTTACACATGTCCGCACACCATGCCGAGTAGGTGGTCAGAGGACCCGATTCTGGGGGGGGTGGAGAAAGGGCAAATCATGCTGGATGTCAGGACAGGACAAGGCCCCTCAAGGGCTATGTGCCTTGCTGGCCAGCGTGGCCACTCACCCGTGTTCCAGTGGGAGATGAGGGTCTTGCAGAAGCGCTGGCCGAGGGGGCAGCTGTGCATCTGGTGGCACTGCTCCTCCTTGTGCAGGGCGTGGCAGGAATAGCACCGCAGCCCTAGGGACAGACGGGCTCAGCCCGAGACCACAGTCCTCCAGCCCCCAGCTCACCTCCCGGACTCCCCCTACACTGGTCCCCTGCAGAGCCCGCCCTGCGGAGCTTCCCTGCGCCCCTCCTGGTGACTGGCCAGCAGAGCCCACACTGGCTGAGGCCTGGGGGTCGCGGTCAGGATGCTGGGTGTAGGGACTGACATGCGGGGGTATGGGCGGCAAGGGTGTGCTGGGAGCCCCAGGCCATGCAGATTGGAGGCTGGCGAAGCCCTTGGCAGTACCCTTACAGGCGGGACAGGAGGGGTGGCCTCAACCACCTGGGGTGCTGTGTCAGGGTGAGGGGCAGGACGGTCTCATCTCTTGCTGGTACTTTGCTCTGAGCCTTTGTCTGATTCCCGGTTCCCTGCAGGAACCTATCCAAGACCTGGTTCCAGGGTTGTCCCACCTTCCCCTCACCACTCTGCCTACCAGGGCCAGACAGCTCCTTTCTTTCTGATCGGACTCAGCGCCCAGGGCATGTGCATCCGCAGGCCTCTCCATGCTGAGGCTCGGCTGCACCCCTCTGCTTGGTGAACTCCTGTTCAACCTCTCTGCCCAGCACCATTGCCCTCCCCATAGTGACTCCTCTGAGCTCCCTTCTCTGGATGGCACCTGAGGGCACTCGGGGGCTGCTGAGTGTCAGGCTCCCCGCACACATCGTTGCAGCCCCACACCTAGCCCAGCACCTGGGGCACCCACGAGCAGGGCTGAGAGAGAAGCGTGTGCTCGAGGCCGGGCTGGGGCCTGACCTCCGTCCTTGTTGCCGGCGCCCCCCTCAGGCTCCTCGTCCTCGTCCTCGTCGTCGTCGTCATAGTCCTCCGGCCCAACGTCCTCACCCTCGTCCTGCTCGTCCCGCGCCTGTCCTCTCCCTGGCCGCACAGGAACAGGAGTAAACCTCTGCTACCTGGGGCCCCAGTGCCACCCTTCCACTGCATT